GGGGTACCTGCGCACCTGTCGACCAAGTGAGTGAAAGTTGTGACGAATTTTATACAGTCCTTGTTATCAGTTAGCAGATCAGTCCATGTGTTAAAATGGCATCATCGTTTCAATTTGTTGCTGCTAAACTAAAAAACGGCGCTTTTTCCCTAAGAGAAAAACCTATTGTGTTAAATGTTCATGAATCCCTTGTTCATGTGCTCAGATATGACAGGTATTAGTGAAAGAACCATTTACAAATTTTTAAGTAAAAGAAAATAACAAAACATTACTGAGCCAAAAAACATTAAGGAAAACAACCAATGGAAATTGATGACATTCATAATAGAAACGTCCTTTGGATAAAAGTTTATTCGTTCTATTTAAACAAGGAGACTCCTACATCGGATACAATATTAAAGGCCAGAGATAATGATTTTCCTCACTTTGACCGAGATAAGATATGGAAATTATTAAAGAGATCGGTTTTTAGTATAAAGATCAAAGAAAAAACCTAAATGGAACGATACAGAAGAGATTGTTTGTTGGCGAAGATAATATTTGAAAATGATAAAAAGATTTAGATTAGAACGAAGATGCATTTTCTATTTATATGAAACCTGCTATGATATGCTATTACATTAAATGCTGCCGCAGGAAAGAGTTGAAGATTAAACACTGTGCGTTTCCAGCCCATAGCGTTTAGTTAAAAAAAATGAACAATTCACACTGTCCGGAAGGTATCGTTACAGACACCTAACGTTTCCGTTCAGTATGTTCGAAAACAATATTTTACTGATGTTGACGGTTGTGTAACGGGTCGTAACCGGTTGGTACGGATAATGTGAATTAGGGATCCGTCGTTTTGTCCCCGTTGTTTATTTAGGATTTGTTTGATTTTGATATAGATAATTAAAAAAATATAATTTTCGAGGCTATTTTGTCATTTATGCATGTGTTTTTATTGCATTGTGACAATTAATCACGGAAGTGATAAACAATTAGGACTTTTGCACGGAAGTGATACCTCTTCTTTTTTTAAATACTCTTTGGTTTGATATGTATGGCTTCTTTAAATGTAGTATTTTGTTTTATAACTAAAGGTGTAATTAAATTTAAAATATATTTAAACTAAGTCCAGTATTCACCTTCCTTTTTCCTTTCTCTTAGCATTGGATGTGCTTCAAAACTTCTTTTTACTACAGTTTTTCTTTCTTCATCGTTAAGTAGAAGAGCAATTGCATATAATTTTTGTCGTGAAAAGCAAGAACATATCTTCACCGTACCAAACTGAAACGTTCTATGTATGAAAATGTAAACGCGCAGTCCGATTGCTCGACCCGAAACGCTATGTGCAGGATAATATGCCGCGACCTTAATACTCACACACATTGGTCGCGAGCATGGTATTGTGGAGAATGGTTTATTTGAATTCGTTTCAGAATCCACTAAGGATTACCACGAAGAAATGAACTCCGATGTTTTTGAGGATTATTTTTCTCAAGTATTGAATTTTCTAACAAATAATGCTGTCGTTGTTTTTTTATAGCGCCCATGACTTTCATACCTTTTTTGGTAAATTTTGTTTATTGTTTATTCGTTATACCTATTGTTTACTGCTATTTGGTTAATGATATTCAATTATATCTCGAAGTTAGTTTTTGACATAAGAATTTCTGTTAATCTTTGTAACATACACAAAATAAATTAGCGGCCTGCCATAGCAGTACCATCGAGATATAATTCAGTCCCATTAAGCAAATAGCAGTAACCAATGGATACAACGAACAAACAATAAATAATCAATCAGTTTCCCACCCCAAGTTTTCAGTGTTTTATTCTTACATATTGTATTTATATCACGTAATAAAGAAAATTATCTTTCTGTCAATGCTTGGGATCTACGGGGTTCTTCTTAAGGTGCCGTGTATTTGTGCATAGGCGTCCACCGTACATCAGGTGAGATGTTAAATAGTCAGGGCAACTGGCCTTTAACGTCCATGCTTCTATTCCGTACAAGAGAACAGGCCATACGTAACACTTAAGCATCTTGTATCGGAGGTTAAAGTCCAATTTGCGATCAGTCATAAACTTACGAAGCCTCAAAAAAGCATTTTTGGCTTGTTCAACTCTGCTCTTTATTTCATTCTCGGGGTCCCAACCCTCGTTCAGCAAACAAGCCAAGTATTTAAATTGCCTGACCTGTTCGATTTCTTCTCCAGAGACATATATCTTTGCGTTGGGGTAACCATTTCTACTTATAATCATTGTTTTTGTCTTCTTGATATTTATTTCTAAACGCCGAGCTTCACTTGCAAGAGTTAGATCATTTAAAAGGCATTGAAGATCTTCGATGTTAGTTGCTACAATGGCTGTATCATCGGCATACCTGATGTTTTTAATAAATATGCCGGTTACTTTAATACCCTTATTAGAGTCTGCCACTGCTTCTGCGAAGGCTTTTTCTACGTATTAATTGAACAGCATTGGAGACAGTATACGACCTTGCCTTACTCCTTTTTTAATGGAAAAATCATCAGTTTCGTTGAAATTTTGAAGACGTACTGTTGCTGTCTGGTTCCAATACGGATTGGCGATAATTCTTATATCCTTGGCATCCAATCCCAACTCTTGTAGGTATTTTATCATCAATTCGTGTTTTACATTATCAAATGCTTTCTCATAATCGATGAAACACATAAAAACATCCTTTCTTTGATCTAAACAATTCTGTTTTAATGTGTGCATACTAAAAATCGCTTCTCTCGTGCCAAGTCCATTTTTGAAACCAAACTGACTCCATCCACTGACCTCTTCACATTTCTTAAACAATCTAATGTGCAGTATTCTCAGGAAAAGTTTTAAAAATTGACTCATTAGGCTTATTAGTCGGTGGTCCTTGCAGAAGTTCGCACGTGGTGTTTTTGGTAGGGCGATAAATGTAGAGCGAAGCCAATTTTTTGGAATCTGGCCCATATCGTAGATGTCGCTAAAGAACTTGACAATAATGTCTAGGTTTTCTTCATTAAGTAACTTGATTGTTTCTGCGTACATATCATCTGGTCCTGGGGTTTTGTTACTTTTTAATAGTTGGATACCGTGTACAATTTCAGCTTTCAAAATACTTGGGCTATACAAATGGTCTCCCAGTTGTGGTGGTTTTTGTGTTCTGTCATCATTGAACAAATTGGCTGTGTACATTTTCCAAGTATTAAGTATATTGCTAGGATCCGTTATTAGTTTATTTTGGTCATTATGTATACCAGTGACTTGTTTTTTCTTGAAGACAACAGCCATTTCCTTAATTTTCTTGTGAAGATTGAAGCTGTCGCCGAGTTTACATAGGTTCTCAGCCTCGGTGCAAAGTGTAGTCATCTAGATCTCCTTCGCCGCTATAATTTCTTTACGAATTTGACTGTGTATATTTCGGTACCCTACTTGGTCCTGCCTAATCTTACACTGCCTGCGTTGTTCCATCATCTCTAATATTTCTTCTGTCATCCACTCATTCTTGGTAGTTGTTCATCAAAAGTGTTGTTTACCTCATCAAATGATTCTTTTATGGTGGTTCATAACTTTTCAACATTATCCTCAGTTGCCATATTAGAGAACCTGTTGTTTATTTCCTTTGTGTACGCTTCACTTGTTTCATTGTTTTTGAGTTTTCTAATATTTACTGTTTTACTTCAACTGAGACTAAGGTTTACTAAGTGCTACGTATGGTCAGTGCTGCTATATGGCGTAGAGGGCTGGACACTCAAAACGAGGGATATAAATAGATTAAATAAAAATAATAATTAGTAAAAATACCATGGACAGTGAAAATCACAAATATAAACGGCGTATCTAGGTCACATCATGCGAAATGAAAAATACCAGTTCCTCCAACTTATAATCGAGGGTAAAATTGAAGGCAAGAGAGGAATGGGACGCAAGAAAATGTCCTGGCTCCGAAACATAAGGCAATGGACAGGGATTAACGACATACAATCGCTGATACATATTGCAAGAAATAGAGAATTAATGAAAAATGTGATTGCTAACATCCATTAGTGGATTTGCATCTGAAGAAGAAGAAAAATGTTTACTGATGCCTTCTGGTGTTTTCTTTTAGCTGTAGCGAACCTCAGTTTAATATTTGCTACTAAGGGATTGTGGTCGGATCCTATGTCTGCTCCAGGTAATGCAGATACCTTAGTAATAGCATTCCTGTACCCTCTATTAATTGTCACATAATATATTTGGTTCCTTATAATGCCCTGATGTCCGTCTATGGGCGACTTCCATGTGTAAAGCCTCCTGGGTGGTAACTTATACCAAGTATTCGTTATGACTAGATCTTTGTCTTGGCAGTACTGTATCAATCTGTCCCCTCTGTCGTTTCTAGACCACATTTTCCAACTACGTGATCTACGGCTCCTTCCCCAATTTTTGCGTTAAAGTCTCCTAATACGATGTTCATTTCGTAATTATTAGTCGCCTTTAAGGCTTCGTCTAGCTGTTGATCAAATTGCTCTAGTTCATCTTCTGGCTTGTCTGCTGTAGGGGCGTAGACTTGTATAATATTTATGTTAACTTTTCCATGCAACTGATTAAGTATGACTCTTTCGGAGATCGGAACAAAGTTCTTCAAAGCAAATTTTCGCTTAACAAAACTCCCACCCCTTGTCTGTGGTGAGGGTCTGTGCTATCATTGCATGAGTAGTAAATGGTTTTTACAGGATTGACTCTCTATAAACTTTAAACGTGTACTAGTCATTATCGTTCACATCTTTTATAAAATACACTAGATTGGCTCTAGAGCGGTCCCATATAATATTTTACATTTTTGTCAAATAAACTTTTAGTCTCGTATCTGAATCCCAGAATTATACAAGTACCTTCTCTTGCATTTGGTCTAATATTTTTTGATTTAAATATGAAATACTAAACAAATTATCCATACTTGTACTTAAGACAGATTACAAACACAATAATTTTAACGATAATTTATTATTAATGAAAAATGTAGAAATATGTACCTTTAGTTTCCATGAATGTGCTGCTTCAAACGAATCCCTATCTACAGTTGAAAAGGCAAGAACGCAGGCTTGTGCTCCTCGATAGTAAGCCTTTGTAATGGCGTCGAATTCTTCTTGTCCTGCGGTATCCCACAACATAAGTCGAACATCTTCGCCATCTACTCTAAAATATAACAATATATATCAAATTAATAAAATTATTACATATGGAAAAAGAAATGTGGTTTCGCATGTAATACATGATGAGTAATACATGCTGATATAGGACATTCTTGTTCTGGTCAATTAATGAGACTGATTACGATCTCAACCCGTTTCTGTTCAGGGTACTAATAGACATAATAGAGGTGGAATAGCTATGACTAGAGTACAGACTTGGATATATTAGAATTGGAATAGTGTGCTACGCGAATATCGTAGCCCAAATCGCAGTGGATGATATCGACCTATAAAGAGTTTATATATGGATTGGAATTGCAGTTGAAACACGGTAGTTTAAAGTATAGTAACCCCCTTTTGTTACCCATATGACTGCGTTTGTACCTCTAAACAACTCGATTTTTTCCACCTTACTTTTTCGAAGGTTTGATACATACTGATTTTACTTTATTCATTCCATCATGTAACGACTATTATTTTTGCCGTAAGTCAATATACAAAGTTCATTATATGTTTTCTTATAAGTGTCTGCTAATTCTTCATGCTTTTTTATATTATTCTTAATCATAAGCCTTTTATCGTTGCTATTATTACCCTGAATTAATATTTATATATCCTTTAAAACTACATATACTCTGAAACTGTATACAATTTGATTTTTCTTTCCACTAATAATCCACTAATACATCAGCCTCTTAAATTCGCAACTGCATTACAAATAATTACCACATCCGCCAATACAGCAATAAGCAGTAGCATTATTGAGAGAAAACTTGAGCCAGAGAGCTGTGGCAAATTGACTAAATTTAAGCCAATCTGCTGTGTCTAGAATATATCATCGGTACCAAGATACTGGTAATTATGTCCGCCGACAAGGAGAAGACCGTATTGTATCGAACTCCCTGAGAAATCAACATTTGACTAGTGCTAATCTCAAAAAAGAGCTTAGAGAGGTCCGAGGTGTGGTTACCAGAGCTTGGAAAGTTAAAATGAGACTGAAGGTAGTCAAACTAATACCAAAAAGGGTAGCTACGGGTCCCAAGTTAACTGCAGCCCAGAAGCAAAGACGATTATAATTTGCTCGCGAACATCTGGATTGGGGCGACTATTAATGGAGTCAGGTATTATTCTCCGAGGAAAGTAGTATCTACCTAAATGGCAACGAAAAGAGGAGTTGAGTCTATAGAAGGCCAGGAGAGCGATTTGCTTAATGTTTTATACGAGATATTGTGTCATATGGAGGCGGTTTTTATCTGTTTTGGGCAGACATTTCCATGGACGGAAAAACCGAGTTGGTTTTTGTGCCTGGTGGAAAATGTGGAGGAGGTTTAACGGCAGATCATTACGTCAGAGACATTATGGAGGAACATGTGGTTTTAAACGAGGGATTTATATGGATATTTATATGGATACCACACGAGTCACCACCACCTATCTGACTGAGATTGTCTGCCTAGAATAAATTGGCCTGCGTTGAGCTCGGAATTAAATCCAATAGAGCATGTTTGGTATAAGCTTAAACGAAGGGTCCGGGACAGAAATCATGCACCAAGGAACATAATAAAATTGAAAACTCCGCATAATGATGAATGGGAAGCAATGCCTCAAGAATTTATTAGAAAAGTCATCAGGTCCATGCCAAATCGATTGGAAAGTGTAATTAGGAGTAGGGGTGGTAATGTCAAATACTGAAAAATAAAGAAATTCATTTTGTAATTGTTGATTTCTCTGTTTATAACGTCTTTCTTGCGTTAGTTCCAATGATGAATATTTAGGAAACTCTGTTCGTATTGCATATTGTTTTTATAATGTCTTTTCCAAATAATGCAAGAGCAGTTTTTGTAAATCCAATAATAAAGTTATTGTTTAAACATTATACCTTTTTATTTTCATCATTCTGACATTGAAACAGAAGATGTAGTCTCAAATTTCGCCTTTGAATCGACTGTTTTGCACTCAAGTGTATTTCAATATTTTCTGGAGACCTATGCTCAAGTACAGGATTTTTTTTTATATCTCAATCGGACTAATAACACCGGAGATATGATATAATGCCGTTTTGGCAATACCGCCTTGTATGTTTTTTCTATATCAACATATTCGCTACTCCCACTCCTTCCCAATGATGTATTATACGTCACGATACGACGAACTAATATACCCGCAACACAAAAAAAAAACGTCAAAGCTGACCAGAATGAATAGCATAATATTTTGAGTAGAGGTAATGGATTTTAACAAAAGCCATAAGTCATACCGTTTCAGTACACAAGTTTACCTGTTATTTTCAAGGTCATAGCTCTTGTTAAAATCCATTAGGTACCTTTAAGATCAAATTTATTTAAACTTGTCACAATATTCTTACTTCTACTTGAAGGTTGAAAGATTATAACGCTTTATACAATACTGCAATTAATTAAGTAGTTAAAAAAAGTTATTTGTTAATATGTAGTAATTTTGAGCAAACTTAGAAAAATTTAAAAGAATACTTGAAAAAATATATAGAACCGAATAAAAAAGGTTTGGTGCAAAATGCAAAAATACGCAAAAATAAATTACGCTCTGTTTATAGGGCTAAACCGATCGCCTTATGTGGTTTGCATTCAAATAATATTAAACAAGCAAAGTTCTACTATAAAATATAGGTACAGTCCATTAAAATGTTAATTCTTAGCAACTCTAAATACGACTTTCTTTCATTACTTGATATTATATAAATTTTATTAGCAACTAAATTACATTAAATTATGTGAGTATATTTAGGAGTAGTAATATGCATATTTTATCATACGTAAATAGCTTACTCCGATGTATAAACATTTTCGCTAAGTACTAAGAAATTGTGCCAAATACTGCATGTTGCACGTGGCCAAGTGACAAAGTTTATATAAGCAATGCTGGCACAACTATAAACAAGTAATAATTCGTAAGTAAAAGTAATATATCTAATAAATGAATGAAACAAACCTGTTGAATCTAATAATAGATTTGCTAGATACCCAATGTATCGCAGTTTGTTTGACAATGAATAATGACCACTCAGTGGATATTTTTGAATGGTAGATATGACATAATATCATTCAGCTTTATTTTTTTTATGTATCCCTTATTATAAAAGTTACTTTAAAGATTTTTAAACAAAGAAAAATTATTATATTCTTCTTCTTCAGGTGCCATCTCCGCTACGGAGGTTGGCAATCATCATAGCTATCTTAATTTTTGAGGCAGTAGCTCTAAATAGTTGTTTTGAGCTGCATCCAAACCATTCTCTCAGGTTCTTCAGCAATGAAATTCGTCTTCTTCCGATGCTTCTTCTGCCATCTATTTTTCCTTGCATTATGAGTCGCAGGATGCCATACTTATCGCCCCGCATCACATGTCCGAGATACTGTAGCTTTCTTTCTTTAATTGTAAGTTCAATTTCCTTCTATTTGCCTATTCTTTCATACTCAGTATTTCATTGTTTGTAACTCTATCTACCCAGGAAGCCCTCATAATTCTTCTATAGGTCCACATCTCAAAGGCGTTAAGTCGTCTCATGGTATCTAGATTTAACGTCCATGATTCCACTCCATAATATAGTACACTGTATACGTTACATTTTGTTAGGCGTACTTTAAGAGCTAATGTTAGATCTTTGCCACATAGGACCTTTTTCATTTTTATAAAATTAGAACGTGCTTTTTCGATTCTGACTTTGATTTCTGCCGTGTAGTCATTATTTTCTGTTATAAGTGTTCCTAGGTAAGTGTACTTTTTTACTCTTTCGATCTGCTGGCCCTCTACTATCAAGATTTCGTTAGTATTATAGTTGTTTTTACAAATTTTCATAAACTTCGTCTTTTTGACATTAAGAGAGAGTCCGTACTCCCTACTACACATGACTATTTTGTTGATGAGTCTTTCCAGGTCTTGTAAACTATCGGCTATTATTACTGTATCATCTGCATATCTGATGTTGTTAAGACTCCATTTACTCTTATGCCGACTGTTTCATCTTCCAGAGTTTCTCGAATTACCTCTTCAGAATAGGCGTTAAATAATAGAGGTGATAGAATGCAGCCTTGCCTGACTCCTCTCTTTATTTCCATTTCTTCAGATGTTTCTTTTTCGATTCTTACTATTGCTCGCTGATTGTAATAGAGGTGTGTTATTAGCCTTAAATCTCTTTCATCTAGGTTTTTATTTTTTAGAATTTCCAGGAGTCGATCATGTTTTACTTTATCAAACGCTTTATTGTAGTCTATAAAACAGACGTAAAGAGGACCAAACATCTCTGTGTCAGCACATTGAAGGAGAATAATGCCTCTCTGGTACCCATACCATTGCGGAACCCATATTGAGTGTCACTAATATCCAGCTCCAGTTTAGAGTGTATTCTGGCGTGGATAATTTTCAAGAGAATTTTCAAGGTATGTGACATTAAGCTTATGGTTCGATAGTCACTACACTCTTTGGCATTCATCTTCTTTGGCATTTGGCATTCATCTCTATTATTATATTATATAGTGTTAAAACATTAAATAGAAACCACGTTATCTGCTACCTATATTTTATTCTTTATTCTCAGGAGAAATTCCTTATACCACCAAAAATAAAGAAAAAATCGTGGATGAGACAAGATTTTAGACATGGTGGAGGAGAGACGAAAGTTCAAGGATCAGAACACGACATTATAAAAAAGGCTAGAAGAGACCAAAAAAGCAATCCGAATAGCTAAAGATACATTGCCAAGTGAACAGCGTGCGGAAATATAGCTATTGCACATAAACACGATTCATTTAATATGCACAAAAAAAGTTAAAGAAGCTGCAGGCTTATACAAGCCTACAAGAGTTGGGTTTTGAGCAGATAACCAAGACAAAGCACTATTAAGTGTGGAAGAGAAACTAGATACTTGCAAGCAATATATGGAAGTAACTTTTGCAGATCACAGGCATAATAGCATTGAAGCTACGGAATGCCAAACAGGACTCCAATTATACCGAAGTCACGTGGGCTATT